CTCTGAATATTGCGAACGAAAAGTACCATTTTCCAGTGGTGTAGTAAAAAATAAGCCTAAGTTAGATGAGTCAGTTGTTCCACTCATAAATATTAAAAAAGCTATTTTATTATGGCTTTATCTTTTCATTTAATTTCTAAAGCAAATATTCTTCAAAGCAAACATATAAATCCATAATAATGTAGGTACATACAATCAGTTATGTCTGTTAATTGCTTAAATCTGTCGTCTTCATTTTTATTCACGAAAAGTATAAGTAATTATGAAAAATAATAACTGGTGAAAATTACAAAGTTTTGTTCCTCGTCTAGTAAATTACCTAGCTAATAACTGCCAATTTATTTTTTTATTTCTATTACCTATTACTACTACGAAAGAAGGATGAAAATATTGGAATCGATTATACCGTCATATTTTTTAGAAAGAACCCTAAAATGAGAAACACTTTTCCACATAGCTTCTAAATGTCTCGTAAAAGCATTGAACGCGAAAAGTCGCTAAATTTGAGGCGTTCCTGGAGGCTTTTGAGGAAAGCCCGGAGCTGGTGTTATAAGCAATGAGAGGGCCGGGAGGGAAGCCTCTATCGGCACTTTACACGCTCTAGCGAAGCTAACCTCCGCCCAAATGTAATAACGTCGGTATGCTCTCTGTTTCAATTTGGGAACAAATTGAAATTGTTTTTATTTGAATAATATTGCTGTGCACACGTCTTGCGGGTGTTTATCGTATTATTGTATTAATAATGTTATTTTAACTTCGGTATTGGATATTAAATGTGGAATAGCAGTTGTTAGTTGAGTTTGCCCAGATCCACCTGATTTCTTGTTAGAATAAAATAATTGTACGTGATAAACTCATTTACTAGCTAATTATGTTTTTCTGTAAGTTGGTGTCACTACTTTTTAATTTAATATTTTTATAAGTAGTTTTACTACTATTTAATCGTTTGTTTAGGTATTAGAAAAAGATAGATAGAACACGTAAATAGAAAACACCATATGTCTTACTCTAAAACGTAAAAAGGAAAGAATACGGAATATGATAAGATAATGTTCATCTGCTTGAAAAAATTTACCCAGCCTTTTCTAATACGATTGTTATAGATCTAGTTAATCTTGTTTATTCCAATTCTATACAATGACATTTGTATTAATTTCTAGTTTCATGTTAATAGAACAGAACATTCAAATACAAATATGTATAGACATCGTTAAAGTAGTATGTCCTAAATTTGAAAACTTCAATGAGAACCGATTATTGCCTGTCTGTTGTATAAATTGATAGTTAAGTGCAAGTGACCCATATTATTTATATATGAAGTAGAAAGTATCGAATGACAAACAAATATTGAATAGCTAAGTTGTGATTATACAATGTAGGATCCTATAGGGTGCCTTCCTAAGGCCTAATATTTTTTACTTGGAGTACATACGTATATATTGGGACACGCATTCTAAGATACAGTGCCAAAATTTGTATTAAATAGTATATACGTAATAATACACCAGCTATTCATAAGCAGAGCTCATTGTTACACAATTCCGCTGAGCTTGAGCGGGATCGCGCGCTGCATCCTTTATCGGGGGTGAGAAAGGGGGAGAGAGGTGGTGGAAAAATTGCACATAAATATTGAAGCTGCCACTTACACGTGCGCCCACCGAGCAGCGAAAGGTTTGAAAGGACCTGGTCAGAGATTTAAAAATAATTGACATTCAATATACATGTTAAGAGGATTTTCAAAAAATCTTGAAATTGAGGTATTTAGGTACTTCGTAAGAAAAACAGAAGAAAATACAGTAGGTATATAAAGAAATTATGCGTTGTTCAACAAGCATGATATAAGATGCGTTCAAACATTTTCGAGGGTCGGTGTATTTAATGTGAAAATAACTCTACACGACATAATGTCGCATGATTTTACTTTATTTTTTTTTTACATTTTGTAAATTTTTTTTTACTATATTTTAATTATGAATTTAAAAATTACTAGTTTGTGTTATATAAAATACCTTGGTCTCATACCTACATCTCATACTTAGTCTATTTTTTTATGCATATAGTGCTCCTTCACATATACGATATGTGGATCTGCATCGCTATTTGAACATTGAACCCGTAGGTAAAGCAATAAAAAGTATACGCCAAAGTTCACGAACATAGACTTCATCATCACGTGAACATAGAGTCTTTACGAGTACAGCTACTAGACAATACAAATATAGTGCATAGACTACATAAAACTAAACCTTTTGAGTTAGTGTAGTTAAGTTATAGCGAATAAAATAAATATTACTGCCAGTGCTAACTAAGACTATGAACACATAAACAAAGTGTATTTTTTTGTTTTTATAATCTAAGTGACAGGACAAACATGTCGTGTGCCTGATGGTAAGCTACACGCCTGTTCATAACAATTGCAGTGCCACTCAGAGCTTTAAATCACAAAGATCAGAGCGGCACTGTAACTGTGCCCCTCACCCTGAGACATAAGGTGACAAGACCCATGTGCCTGTAATTTCACCAGCACCCTTACCCTTCAAAACCGGAACACAGTCTTCCCCTAACTAATATTAAGATATTTTGTTAAATTAAAATTGCTTATTAGTAGGTTGTAATTAGTTACTGGTTTTGCATTACAAGAAATAAATTTAAAAAAATCTCTATGCGTATAAAAATCATATCCTTCCTAATCATAACGTCCGCGCGGTGCGAGCCCTCTTTCTTTTTCTTGTAACAAATTTCGCAACAATCTCACTTATTATGCCACACAAATTTCCGCGCTCGCCCGTCTCTAGACGTGAAATTAAAATTTCCTACTTACCCCCGTTTTTGTGTACGCGTGGAATACCTAAATAAATGTTGCTGCTTAGGATGCTACGAATGGGCATAAGAACTTATATACTTATTATCGGATGTTTAAGTTTAGTTCTCTACAGTAAATGGTTATCTTAGGTAAAAAGACCCGACTATTGAATTTTTAAAAGACTAGTCGACTTAGGAATTTTACAAAACGATGTGTCTGCTTGCATTGACTCTGTTTTTTTTTATTTCATACAATTTTTATTTAGGGGACTCCGTGAAATCTGAACAAGTTATCAGCTGTCCGTTGCTGTAGTAGTACGTCTATAACATTTAGTATGAAACAGATCATCGCACATGAAATCAAATACTGTCGTAACTCAAAGTTATGGAATTGAGAAAGCACAACCGCGGGGATCCAACTTTATTCATATAATTTAAAAATCCTAGTCTTACTTTCTAGTACTTAAGCTTTTATTGTCTTTTTTACTTTACCTATATATTATCTTAATTAAATAATATTAGACAGATAATCTAATCCCTCTTGGGTAGGCAAAGATTATCGACATTCACCCGCTACGCTTTTCAAATAAATGAAAACACAGTTGAACGTTTAAACAAATATTAAATGGATCTTGTTGCGAACAATGTGATTATTTTATTTATACGTAATATTAATTATCCAGTTACAAAGGAGAATATATATATATATATATATATATACATTTTTTTTTTTTCAGATCGAGTTGTCTCAAAATAGTGCACTACTTTGAGTCACGACACAGTATTTGGTTTCGTATGTGATATATAGAATCAGTTACTAAAAATGTCATAATTTTAAAAATATCATCTTTTAAAAGTTTTAATCTGGTATGATAATCTTATTAGCTTTTCTGACTTTAGTTCCACGCTACCTAGGCTTTTAAGTTTTATCTAAACGCTCTTAGATAATAATTGTATCAGAATATTATGTCAGATATCTTCTAAAATGCTAGCTACACTAAGAGTCCGTGTCTTTATAGTTTGAACGTCTAACGTCGTTGCTTTGTACAAACGTGGAATTCCTTGTTTTTACCTCCACGGAACTAAGAGAACAAAACGAATTCCTTGAATTGAAAGTTTCTATTTGAAATGGAAGGCAGTAGAGCCAGTTCGAATGTAAAGTTCTGTACTTCAATTTTGTCACTTATATACTTGTTTATATACCCAGAAAACGACTAGGTACAATCGTATAGGTAATCTATGAAAGGCAAAAGTTCTTTGTTAAATTGTTAGTATATCGTAGCAGAAGAGCTTCTTGTGAAATAGTTTGTCCACGTAAGTACTGCCACCATACCTATTTCAGCCGCCAAGCAGTAATGTGTTTCGGTTTTGAAGGGTAAGGTTGCTGGTGAAATTAAGGGCATATGGGTCTTGTCAATATGGACAAGCATGTCGCTTGCCACCAGGCGCACGATTTGTTCGCCCCGTAACTTGGTACCATTAAAAAAAAACCTACTCCTTTGTCTGCAATTGAGCCTTGTAAACAACCTTATAGACCTACTTTGTAAACATTTATTATCTCAGAGGAATATTTTAAACCTTAATTGCAAATTATGGGACAGTTCAATTTATCTAAACATAAAATTTTCTTTTCACTATTTACGAGACGCGCAGCTATAAAATTGAACTAAATCTTTTTTATACTTAATATGTTCAGCAATGCAGGTGCCTAATTCTACCTAGATTCAAAATTTAAATACTGCATGTATAAAAAACAATATTGTGTTGAGGTAAGTTCTGCTCTGAACTATCCTCCTAAGCATTTAGTAGCATTAGAGCTCCTTGTGAAAAAGTTCGTCCAGGGAAGCACTGTCACTTTACCTATTTCTGCCACCAAGTAATGTGACCATTATTACATTGGGTGCTTGTGCAATTAATATCTAAGGAAATTACAGGCTCATGGGACTTGTCAACTTATGTCTCAGGGTTAAGAGCGCGGTGGCACTGCCCCTCAAATATATGTGAATTAAAGCTCTTTGTGGCACTGGAACTGCTACGGACAGGCCTGTCGCGTGTTGCGTCTAATTGTAAGGGAAAATAATTCCATTACAATTAGGTGGACTTATCATCGTCAAATAAAAGTCTTTTAAAAATAAAACTAGAATTATTTTAACATGAGTTGAATGTTTTGACTAATGTATTTTTATTTTTATTTTCAGGTGATACGTTCGTACGCAGCGGACTGGGTAAGTGCATAAACAACATAAACCCATGAATTCCTCGCCAACACCTATTAATACTACTAAACTACAAACATGTTAATTTTTGTGTACGCAGCTAATAAAATATGTACATAACATGAAAGTTGTCATAATTTTATTTCTTCCCAAATGTCCCGTCTTGTCACCGGCTATCCGTTTTCACAGCCAAGTGAAATATTATAAAGCAAAAAGAACAAGTGCCTTAAAATTTGAGCAGTAAAAATTAGTAGCGATTCGTATAATCTGTAACACAGTAATTTCACAATTGTCCTGACAGGGATAATGCGTCGTATACCAAATTGACGACCCAAATGAGACACAGTTAGTTTTATATCGGAATTTTAAAGCGTCCGATCTATAAACTGCTCGTTAAATCTCGCGTGCGATAGTTGTAAATTTTCCCGGGACTCGAGCAGTTTTACGATGGACATTCGCTCCTCCCACCTGCGACTTGCGGCTGCGATGATACTGGCTTTAAACATCGATCCTCTATAAAACGGGGCGTGATGGTTTTGCCAGCGTTTCTGTACTTGCAAGCAAAAAACTTAAGGGTTATTCTATTTTACGATTACAAGTAATAAGCTATAGATGTACCGACCACTTTACTGCTAAATACTTCCTGAGTAGGCTTTTTACTCACATTTATGTATATACTAACAATGTATTTGTAAATGCCTGTATATACAATTGATTTATTTAGAGAAGTAATTGGGTATTTGTGCTTGAGGATCTGCAGCTGAAAAATCACAGATGTTTATCCTCCGTTTGTGTGCGCCGCATGTCACGCAGAAACGCTGATAACCTTGAAAGACTAATTGTTACGGGCACTATAAAGGGCAAACGATATCGACAACCTAGAATTGAGGAATTGTCTACTAATCTTTTTTGTTATTATAAAGGCACAAAACAATGCCTATTATTTTTATACATACATACATGCATGTTTTTCTTTGAATAATCTTGCACATTAATGTTACTAATATTAATAATTTTTTGATAGTAATTACAAAACTTGAAAACCTAAACAAAATATTTACCACACGACAGAGTATTTCATCATCATCAACCTATCGCAGTTCACTGCTGGACATAGGCTTCTCCCAATGTACGTACGTCTTTGCGCCAGGTCCTTATCTTATTGCAACCATCTGCTATCAGCAGCCTTTCGTAGATCTTCACTCCATATGGCCAGAGGGCATCCTATGCTACGTCGTCGAGCCGTGGTCTCCTCGGTTCTTCGACAAATGTGACTAACCACCACTGCCACTTCAGCTTGCTTATTCTACCAGCTATGTCGACGACCTTGGTTCTATGTCGGATAACCTCATTCCGAATGATCCTTCAGAGAAACTCCGAGCATATGCTCTTTCCATAGCTTACTGAGCGACTCTTAATCCGTTCATGGACAGTAAACGTTTACCGTAAATTTAAATATAAATTAATTATCATTATATGATAGTACAGGGTACCCTGTTTCGCTATATGGATCTCAAAATAGCAACTACAGGTTATACAGTGCGATTTCCAAGTGGTTTCTTAATTGCTGCCGCCTACGGCTTCTATAGACAAGAATCAACATCGTACTGACAAAATTCAATGATTTACAGACATTGAATATAAATTGTGCGGCAAGAAAAGACTGAGACTTTTTTGTACGGTGCTGTTTGAGTACAGTCCATGAATGGCTTAACTGGTGGACTAGCCGTTTCGTGAGTGTCCCGCCTTGGATCCGTAAGTCACGCGTAACGCACTGATTGGAAACTCTTCTTCTCGTACTTTGTGGTATGGATGATGAGAAGGCCCGATGTATTTAGACAGAGTATTTAAGCCAATCTAATACTAAAAATACTACGGCAACGACGTTAAAAACAAAATAAATTGCTTAAGCTAAAATAAATAACTTTCATTACACTGCAATGTCATAACACAGTAACATCATTATTTTCTAAGAACGCATTCTAAATCCATAATTTACAGAAACTTTATATGAATTAAAATTTGCAGAATGAAATTTCGTTATTATGACTAAAAGGTAGGTACGGAATTACGATGTTTACAGTATCTTATGGCCAAATTTAAGAACAACATTTAAGTACAATGAATGAATGAATGAATGAATGAAACACCAAAAGTGCATGTAACTCTAAAGAGGCCATAATGCACCTCTATCCGCGGACTGACTCGTTTTATTTTATCTCTGAAATCTCGGAGTCTAAATAAGTCAAGGTTTACGATCTGGCAATGCAGTTTATCCGTGTACAGGTAAACATGCTTCAAAATTTAATCTTTTTATTAGTGGGTGTCAGTTAAATTTCTTCTCTGAATTTTGTACGTTGAAAATAGGCTTCAATATCTGTATAGGTAAGTAGTTTTATAAAAATATTCATGATTAAACAACGGCATTACCGTATCGTAAAGTCATTTGTAACTGTGTATTGGTACAATATTTTATATAATTTGTTTAAAAAGTCATGAAAATAGTTCACTTTCAAACGCTCACTTATTATTCTAATAAAAAGAGAACTATTCCGGTTTGTTCATTCATTTTTCATGTCTCTATAGGAAACTTATTTGATTTTATTATTAAAACTAATAAGATAAAACATTTCAATAAGACGTTGATTTGAATCTTTTTGTATAAATTGAATTGAATCAGTCATTCTAACAAGAATGAATAATATGAACTATTTGAAGGTTAATCAGATAATCTTTTAAATTATTGAACCAATTAACTTAATTAAATTTATTTAATTATTTTATTTTGCTTCTTGCAATTTCCTGATTTGTCGTTTTCTAAAATGTAGCGTTATATGTCATAAATGACGACGATGAAGAGGGTTCAATTCTAGGTAGGACCAATTTGGGAAATAGCTTATCCAAATTTATTCTGATCTGGTTTTTCTGGGCAATAAGCCGGAGTCAATTTCGGTGCTTTGATACTCTAGAATACGAAGTTCTCTAATTTGAGACCAGATTATTGGATGGGTTTCTGGCTTATTATTATTAAGTTATTAGATGGCAACTTTTCCAATAAATGATAATAAATCTTAAATATACATATCATACGTTGCTCTGATCCCAAAGTAAATCGGAAACAAACAGCTGCGAGACAATATACTCGTAGAAAAAGTAGTCTTTCTAAATTGATCCGGCCGGGGATCGAACCCGCGGCCTTAGATATGGCAACACCATGAAAACTCATTTATTCTTCAGGCAATATGACTCTGGAACGCTCTAACGCTCTACATGGGGATATTCAAAAAGCTCTGAATAAACTAGCTTTCAAGCAATTAGTCCGTGATTTCATATGGGAGTCTCAATCTACATCCCATTAGTCTGACATTGTAATATATAAATATGTATATTAATATATATGTGTATGTATTACATATTATATATTTATGTGTATATAGGTTGCTTATATAAGTATATAGTTAGTCATATAATATTATGTGCTATATTTATATTGTGTTTAAACTATAGGTAGGTACATATATCATAATTATTTATAAACTTCTTCCTATCTGTTTTAATTTACATGTTATGCACCCCTGTTAATTATTTTGAACCCAGCTCTCCGGTTAACTGATAGAGAAAGCCTAATGGCATTTAGTCCGCCATTTGTAGTATTTTGTGTGCAATTAAGTTTAAATAAATGAATAAAATCGGTGTGCAAGCCATTCGACCATGGAGATTGTCAAAGTAATTCATTATTGTTATATACGCATCTTCTCTTACTCCTCGTTTTGACGCTTATTTATTTTAGAACTATACTATACGCACAGAAACACACAAACACACACACACACATATATGCTTTGCCATCTAATTTCTTAAAGTTTTTATTTTTTTTATTATTGAACGTTAAGAATAAGTAGTCGAGGAAATTTGTAAAGGCTCTCAACTGTAAATACTTTGTTTATTATACCTACACACAATGTCATTTGAGCTGTTAATTTCCTCAAATAAAATAAAAAAAATTAAGGAAATAAAATGAAATAAATACTGGTGTTCTATAGTATGTTGCCACTATGACTGCGTAATCCGTAGCCATGTAGAGTTAGTTCTTCCTTCGTACAGGCATTAGGGCTCAAGGGACACACGAGCAAGTGCTTCATGGACTGTGTTAGGGTACTGCAGTCATATCGGGTTAGACAAGCATCCCTGAACCCCTATTTGCACAACTTGTCTTGTCATTTACAAATAACTCTATGAATGTAAGTTTTTCTTAAATTTTCCTTTTTTAATTTAACTTATTTAATGAACTATATATTTCATTATAAAACATATATCGTAACACTATACTGGAAACGATCAATATTCATTATAATAAAAACTTTAATTGTTTTTATTACTTACTCTATGTGTAATTTCTATGGTAAATAGGGATTGGCTACTAAAAAAATCCTATTAAGTAAAACACGATTTTAAGCCATTTTTTGTAAAGCTAAAGCTAATGCTATACGAAATACAACGATAAATATATATAACATAAAAATACATCATAATTTATAAGGCATTTATCTTTATGCTTTCCTACTTATTTTTTTGTAAGGAAATCAATTACAAATCAATAAAAAAGTGGCGTTATCATAAAAAGAACGATCATAACTGCCCATATCATACATTCCATACGTTTACGGCAAAAACATCACAATAACACCATAAAATCTATACTTATGCAATGTTCTAGTGCCACACCGCCGTACCGCCGACCTGATAAAGCTGAAAAGGCAACTTAAGCCTATAAAAACCATGCACTAAACACACGTAACAATCCAAAGTGTAATAAATAAATAAACTTCTCACGCAATAAACAGTTTTATTTTTATAGTCGTAAAGATTGTTATTGCACATGTGCTCAGTGTGGTTACGACCTGTAAGGATGAATGAAATGGGGGAAAGAGATAGCAATGTCTGTGAAAAAGAGATGAATGAACCAGTTCGACCACGTGGCCGGCGTAACACAATTTAGAGCAATTCTTATTTTGAGATTAGTAGGAAGTTATTTTATGACACGTTGTAAAATGTTTAGAATGTTGAGGTGCTCTTTTTCTGTAAACTTTTTACGATAGTGACGATTAACGATTCTCGACCAGAATGGTTATATTGGTTTGATCACTAACTTAAGTTTACAACAACAGCAATTAAATTGAATTAACTTTCTTTAATTGCTTTCTTATTAGCACATTCTCAATGTTTAACCATATTTCATTAAACTCTTGAAATGTATGTTTAAAAAAGTATATTAAACTTAACTATAAAGCCAATAAAATGTACTTAATTAAGACAGTGACTCTAGCTCTACATAATTTTTTTCGTGTTTGAATGTTACAATAAAATTGGTGATAGTTTTTCACTGGCAAAATTTAATACACTACGAAATTAAATATATATCAAAATACAAAACATGTTTGAGGTTTAAAATTTACGTTTATCCTCGAGAAATTGTGAAATCGTCAATGAATTAATTTATATTTTTTGTAAATAAATTAGTTTTCGATATTATTAGCGATTCCGAACTTTCAGGTACCTGTCGTACTTATTTGATGTTCAAATCTTAATTAATTTTATCAATTGAAAATAATATTTATAAACAACTTTAACAAATCGAAATGTTGCAATTCCGTTTAATACCATTCTCTTTGACAGCTAGAAGTGCTGGAATGGTTTGTGATTGGCGGTGAATGTTCTGCACCGGATCACTATTGGCGTAGACGAGGTGGGCGCGGGGGTGCGCGGGGCCCGGCGCCATTACGAACAATGGCCGGCGGAATGGTCGTTAGCAAATAGCTTTTATCCCTTTCTAATATAAGCCACGCAGGTAGGAATTAATGAGACGGAGAGGGTTCCGGCGCGTCGCTCCCTGTAGTGTGTGTGTCTCGCTCACACGCACGTCACTCGTCTCGCCGTCTCGGGCGCGGCGCGCGGCAGCGGTAACGCTCGCCACGGCGGGGAATTCAGAGTCGTAGAGCCTCATACGCGGGTCATAAACGATCCGCGGCCATAGTAGAGGTGCACGCGCGAGAATCGATCCGAATCGCCGGTGATAAACGCATCTCCCGCGAGGCGATCGTCGCGCGCCGCGTCGCCGCCGAGCGATGAGTTCCAAGTTCATCATCGATAGCATGCTCCCGAAATACCATCAGCAGTTCCATCACCAGAATTTGTTCGCGGGTGCTGGAGCGTCGCCTATAGAGGCGTCGCTATCATCATCGCTATCGTCGTCGTTGTCGACGTCGCTGTCGTCCTCGCTGTCTGGCGGGCTAGGTGCGGCGACACTGGGGGCAGGCTCACCGGGCGCCGGTAGTCCACAACGCTCCTCTTCTTCATCGTCGGCGTCTCCGGGGGCGCCGGCGAGGATGTATCCATACGTGTCGCATCACCAGCAGTTCGGGGGGTCAGTGCCATTTTCGGCGGGCGGGGGGCTGTCATCTGACGAAAAAAGCTGCCGCTATCCAGCTGCTGTTGGAGGAGATCCGATGGTGAATTACGCGTTGGGACAACATAATGGAGGCGCAGCGGTGTCGGCGGCATCGGCAAGCATGGCGGCTGCAGCACAGTTCTACCACCAGGCGGCGGCGGCTTCTGCAGCCTCAGCAGCATCGGCAGCATCCGTGGACGCCATGGGAGCAGCTTGCTCACAGCCATCAGCCCAACCGCTGCCAGATATCCCGCGTTATCCGTGGATGTCCATCACTGGTAAATATTTACCTCCATGATTGCATGCTACGTGTGCTGCCGTTGATGTCTTTTTCTAGAACAATACAGTTCTCATTTTATTTCGTTGCCATATTTGTTGATTTAGCACAAACGTTTTTATTATTTTCTCTTGTTAACCAATTAGATCAATCAGTTTCGTAAGTTGCTTGTTTAATTTCAGTTTGGTAGAATTTTATATGTTTTTCAGTAATTTTTTGTACAGTAGATATTTTAGGTACTTTAAAATATTCTTAGCAATTGTCTACTCCTATTATTTCACACGACCAATTACACAAAAGTCATTAACATAATTTAAATGTAAAATTTATACAAATCGTATTGTTTCCAATTGGAATACCTACTCATCAGTATCTACCCTCATTTATAGACAATTAAAATCTTACTAATGATCAGATGTCACTACTGGAACAATAAAATATTTCAACTATAATCATTTAAAGGCAATGAAATGGGCAATTATTATTTTTATTGGCACATAATTATAATAAGTACCAATTATATTACATAAAACACAATATTAATGTCGTATCGTCGCTTAACGTCTTTATAAATTTAAAATAACTAGAAAGGATTAGGAGACCCAACAGATTAACTTTAACTGATGCATTAAAAGATATTTCTTATATATGCTAAAATATCAATAAAACACTATTTCAACGTAACATAAACGTTTAAATACAACTAAGTAATAACAAAATATCATTCGAAGATGATCGCAGGAAAATTAGAAAAAGTGTTTCAAAGGCAAACAAAAGAGAAACCGCATTCGTTTTTCAAGAGGCACGTGGTAAAGATTATTTAAAAAAAAATTGTATTTAAATATCCGACATTCCCATAGTAAAAAGGCCGTAAAAGAAGGATCGGGGTTCTAAACGCAACACTGTAAATACGAGCTGCCGTGCCGCCGACGGCACACACTTCGGCGGGGATTGTCCCGTAGAGCAGTCAAAACATGAGAGAGTGGTAAAAGTACTCTACTTTGTAATCTTGTTTATTTTTAAAAAAATATGTGCATTTTGCTACATACCTATATGCTAATTATAATTTATTTAACGTTTATTTTATTTGAAAGATAGAAATACACCATAAGAATTATACAGGAAAATACTGACATTTTAACGCATCACGTGACCGCTATGAAAGTAAATTTATATAAAACAAAATATTCTTATACACTGTTGGTATGACAGGATCCCACTCACTATTACCTGTATACAATTCGGACATAAATTATCACTATCGATAAATGATATTTGCTTTAAAACTCATTTATCAAAAACGAAATAAATTATACAATCATTAAATCCTAAATAACTTATGTAGGCCTAAATCTAAGTCCAATTTATGACCCATATCGTTTTTATAGACCTCATGTGAGGTCCACTTAGTACCCAAAAATGGTTAGCCATTAGCGTACTAAACTGCCTGTATATTTTGCATACAATGCCACAATTATTTTTATTCGCGCTTTTATTGCTCGGAAGTGTATTTCGTCATACTTTACATTTGTTTTTCGTAGGTTGGGGGACAATTTTAATAAATATGCAATAACGGATATTTGAGAAAGGCAACATCAAGGAGGTGCACTTGTGTATATGAAATAATATCACCTTTTCCCTTTATATACATAGTTCACAGAATTTATTAAATGCCCATTGTATAAAAATAACACGGGTAACATATTATATAAATTTTCATAATATATACCTGGTATATATATTTATAATAGTGTACGATTTTTATATACTTCTTTTGTAAGATAATTATTAAATTTTGTGATATTGATTTGAAAAATTGCAATATATATAATCTGTAATTGTTATTTATTGCAATTTTTTTTCTTCTAATTTGTATAGTTTATTCTTCAGTTTTTTCATGAAAATAAAATCAATTACTCAAAAAAGTCTTAATTAATTACAAAAAATCTAATATAAAGTGTCAACATTTTTGGATTATCTTTTAAAAAATAATCTATGTAAATTAAAATGTAATAAAAACAAAACTAAGCATTCATTTTATCACAATTTTAAAGCAAAAAATGTCATTTTTTGCCAGCCAAAACATATCTTAAACGTCAATAACAATAATAATATACAATATATTTAATTTCTTAACCGCTAAGAAACGATATTTCGAGGAATATAATGTTAGTATCCAACATTACTTATGAACTATAATTTTAGAAGTAGACACACCACTGTTTTAATTATTGAAAAGGTACAAATATATTATGTATAATTTACAATACTCTGTTATAAATTTCTTGGGAAGGTCGAATCCTTAATGAATGTCACATTGGAAACTCTGGCCATGTAAATTACATAAATTCCATACTCTATTACTTCCTTTAAATAATTACGTTTCTTAATTTACTTCTTCATTATTGTCATCAATTGGGTATTTAAATTAGATGCGACGAGTGTATTTCAATAATTGTATATACGAAACGCTTATATAAATAAATTTTATCGTACATATGCAATTCTTATCACTTAATTAAATTTTAATTATTACTGTTTTACATCGTTATAGGTATTTAAACGTTACCTATTTCACTTATCATAATTACAAACTAAAACCAAGTGTGTGGCGCTACATAAGTCACAATAACATACACGATACCGAGTACGTAAATACAACTACAAAAATATATACTCAGTTCGAATGGTTGTTCGTAAAATGGACGTTCGAACACGAGTAGTGTTATATTGAATGTCTATTTACCAGTACCCCAAATTAGTAGTAGACGAATGGTTTGTTTGTAAAAATAACTTCAGCCTCATTAAATAAACGCGTGAATCAAAAAGAATCTTTCGTCTAGAATCGGAGCGACCTTCCTGGCACATGTTGCCATCAATAAACTCGACATGTCAAACTACCATAATCAAAGCCGCTGTAGCGACGTAAGAATCTCGTAGCTCAGCGAAATTATATAAAATGGCCTATAATCGACTTGTTTTTGTGAAGTAACGACTATTTTCGTGATTTGTTGCTAACGTAGCGTTATAAAAATGTCCCGGGCTGTAGAGGCAAAAATTCGTCTCAGATGGGACGAAAATACACCAGTTGGTGGCGGCGCTTGCATCGCACGCGCTCACAGACTTAAAATGGCGGAGTTGACATACGCAGACAGTTATAAGTCCTAACGCGCAACGTTTTGACAGTGTAGCTGAATATTACGTGCAAACTACTACTTCAAAAGTTGAATTGAATGAAAATTGAATGACGTATGAATCAATTTATATTTTTAGATATCACGTAGTATTTGATGAGCGCACTACGCGCTTAGATTAAAAATGGATATGGCGTCTTCGTTATAAACTAAAAATAATTTTAGATTTTTTTACAATGTAATGCGTGTAATTTATTTAAAAAGTACCTAATAAGGTTTTTACACACATAAAATTTGAAAAGGCATGTGCTTTTTTCAGTCTACCCTGCAGTTATTGTAACTTACCTATTATGAAATATACTTATAAAAGTTTCTTTTTTTGTGGAAAATATCATAAAAATTAAGTAAGATTCTGTAAATTTGCCAATTCAGTACATACTTACACGTGATTTTCATTATTATTTTCTAACCTAATCTAACGCTAAACAGGTGTAATCGTCACACACCTGAAAACTACTGCGTCGCTAGCGCGCATGCGCCAAACAAACATGGCCGGCGTTTTCGACCAATCGGATCGCATTGTTTGAAAACGAAACTTACAAGGCAGCTTTTATCCTTTTAATGGACATACGGAAACTTTGGTTAGTTAATTAGTGCTTCTAATTTGTGGCCTTCTAAACATTCCAATAACATGGTCGTTTAAAGAATTGCTTCGTCAATTATAGACTTTAGAATCTAAATTTATTATTAAAGTTTTTGTCAATGTATTATATAGTAATCAGGAAACAAGAAAAACTTCTTAGTCTTTTGCACCTGAATAAATCACATAACATAACATAGCACCTATACACCATATTTACGACTTAAAAAACATTGTTGCAACACTTCCAAAAACTGTTAAAAAAACCACTATGGGAGTCATTATCTTTCTCTTGAAATACGAGTGAGATACTGGTACGTATTTGTAACCTTTTTGGGTGACGCCCAAACCTTCGTCTTTTTCTCATATAATATCAAAAGTGTGTTTGTTATCTGCCGGAATGATATATGTGCTAAAGAATACCGATTTATCGCGTTCGGTTCAAATAATCGAATTCTTATTCGATTAGGCACTTTTCGAGTAATTAATGATTTCACGAAGAACCAGTATGTATTTCCGATTGGTGCAACTGGTGCAACTCATCAAATGCTAATGTTTGTTAGGAACCGCGAGCACCTGAATTTTTTTCTTAATTGGACATAAAATTTACATGCAAGACATTAAATAAGGTGATGTTGATAATGATAAAACCAGTAAAAAACGTTGTTGAAATACCAAATTAAGTTCATTTCCTCCGCAAAACGTCTGGTAATTGAGTAAACAATACGTCAGTTCACACCTTTAAATTGCCAAAAATTTAAAGAATTTTTGATTAATGATTACTTCTTTTTAAATCTAGTGCCCGTAAATGGTTTTAATTGGGGCGGTCCTAAGTGTTGAAAACATAGTGTTAACATTTTAATTTTAGATTAGTCAAGAGTAACTAGGCCACTCCTTTTGTAGATTGTCTCTTGTAGATTTATATTCCCTCTACAAAGTAAAAGAAAATTTTAAACACATAAATAATAACGCACACACTCAACATAGCCCCGCCTAGGGAAACCCTGTGTCGCGGGTGCCATGGACACACACATAGACAACCACAAATTACACCCCAACTCACGAGAATAATAAATGTAGGGCATACAAATATTTCTCCCGGCCCGGGAATCGAAACTGGGACCTGGCATGGTAACCGTTCGGCCACGGAGGCAGTTATACATGTTTCGGATGTCTAATGTTCATTTAATATGTGTGAGATTTATTCCACTTACTAAATATTTTAATAAGTAAACCTTTATTAAATCTAAACATACTAAAATTACCGTATACCTGTTTAAAAAATATTGACAATTTATTTCATACTTCAGGCGGAATACAGTGTGATAACTTAAAATAATCTTATAAAACTGTTCCAATGAAATAAGACCACATCGAATCGATTTGTAAAAACTACCACTACGAAAAAAACATAAAAAACAAACAAATGAATATTCATTATAGTTGTTTTCCCTATAAAAGATATTAAAATCACATAATAGAATTTTAATTGAAACAGCTCTTCTATGGCTATACTAACAGATTTTTTTTAAGGAAAAAACTGATTCAATTGCCCATTGTCTAATAGTAATGGGTTGTATCTTGGCATGTTGGATAACTGTGGAAACAGCGGCATGCATTCACTTTCCTACACTTACTTTGTCTGCAAATAAAAATACAATGTACACTGTTTGTAATAAATTTAAATAAACATTGCCTTTTTCCCTAGACTACAATGTTCTCTTAGGTTACTTGACTATTGACTTTATAGTATTTAACTGTTTCATTTTTTGTTTTTCTATTATTGCAGCCATGTTCGGTACGTTCACTATAATAATAATATTAATAATACTTGTTGTTGCTATAGAATGAAAATGCAATTTATAATTATTTTACTTTTTCAGTTTATCTATGCGCCATTCTTAATTATATGTTTTTCTTTTAATTTTCTGTAACTTTACACATTATCTTTTTTCACTTTCTTAAATATCCACTGACAGCATGTAACTTTTAACGCACCTAAAAAAAATCAAAAATATATGTAGTATATGTAGGTACTTCTATCACCGGTTGTTTGTGTACCTATTTAAATATAAATATACACTGAAAAAAATAATTAACCAAGTAATGTATTGATTAGTTAATTAATTAATTAATTACTTTATTTTTTATTTCAATTTCAAATTTTATTTCAAGGTCCCAAAATCATTTTGAACTACATCTTATATATTTCAATTTAGTTCTTTTTTTTCAGTGTATATTGTTCCCACTGTTTTTTTTTTTAATTTCTTGTTAGTGTAGTTTGTTAATAGCTCTAGTTCGGTAATTAGTTGGCTCTTTTTAGAATGTACAAGGCTTTTTTGACGTTTTCTACCTTTTTATTAAGTAATTCGTAGAAATTTGTATTTAGTAGTATACCTATTGAATTTGTACAATAAACCTGCCGAAACAAAGAACTTTCAATACGATTGATAATAGATTTTCCATTTCCAGATTGGATGAGCCCCTTCGACCGCGTGGTCTGCGGTGAGTTCAATGGTATTTATCGTTTCAAATTTATTTTTCTTTTAGTTTTAAGTCTTTAGGTTAAGAGCTGGTAGCTCACGTGTGACGACAATCTTTTATCAGTATGTTGTGACATCACTGTACTGAATGAAAAATGTTTTACTGAGAGTCTAGTAAGTTTTGTAAATTATCTTTGAAAAAGAATAGAATAATGTACATAATTATGTGCCAGAAAATCATACTAATTTTCTGGTTTTAATTTTGTATAATAGGTATTAGTATCAGAAAACAAAATTAACTACTATCTACACAGAACACTTAAACCAGAGCAAATTTAAAAAAAATCTTAGGTTTTTGCTATTTCTGAACATTGGAAATGAAACTACTTTTTTGGATTACAATCGCATACATTTGTTTTTTCTAACAAAGAAAGTTTCAGCTGTGTGCAGTTCCCATGGTCACGGCTGACTGAGATGGTAAAGTTATCACTAATTTATTGCTAATAATAATTAAGGCCACCTTATTTTGGACTACAGTTATAAAGCGATAGTAAAAGGAGCTTCAAAATATTTATCAGCTTGAAGAATTTTGAAATACATACCTAAACAAACTTACAAACTTTAATAAATAATTCTTGAGTTATTTGAGAATGATTAATTTCTATAATGCATGATGGGCACAAGTTACAGTTACTCCTGGCCTAATTAATATTACCACTTTATTTATTGTTTTAAGATAAAAAAGTATATAGGTGCATAAATATTGTGAAGCACAGTTAAACCCTACTTGGGTTTTCTCGATGCCAATTGTATTTAATGAAGGAATTTGAAAAGGATTAAAATGTATAATACTTAATAAAAATATATTAAAATATTTACTTCTAAATTATTAAATGAGTTTTCATTAATTACAATTATTTAATACCCTATTTTTAATTTACCAAAGAATATGCCGATTTTCGCTATAGGTATATGATTTGCAAGTATTTTATTTTCACATGATGAACGTTTTTAATAAATTGAGTATTATAATTACAAGGACATTAGAAATAAAATAAAGATATTAATGAGTAAAGTACTAAGTACATTTTTCATAAGAGGAGGTACTGGACCTCAAGTTGGTGGTACGGGGAATCATCTTTCCTGTTGAAATACAGCTAATGTTTAGCACCGTCACGTAAATAAGTCTGCAGTCTGCGAACATATCATGGACAATCTACTCATTCAATTAAGTTTGACAAACCCCAGGTCCTTGGAAAAGAAGTCCGTTTTCTGCATAGTGTATGTGAGAGGTCATTCGGACAGATGCCAGAGAAAGATTTTAATTTCAACAGAAAATATGGTTCCTCCGCACTACCACTACACTCTACCACTACTTGGGTTTCAGTATTTCCCCTGATGAAAAATCTCAAGCAGACAGGTTACTGTAGTACTATTAACATATATGTTTTATTTTATTCCTAATTTTCTTTTAATTAATACCTTTACTTAGAAAAAAAAGTTGTTTGGAAAGTTCTAAGTAAACAAAAAACAAGGTAATTAAAATATGTAATATTTTTGTAACTGTAGTTCAAAACAGGGTGGTTCACATTAATATGAGACATAATTATTTAATCATTTTACCCGCTTGGTATTATAAAAAAAAACCATCTCAGTCAGCCGTGGCTGTGGGATCTGCAATGAGTCAGAAACGTATGTTTGTTTGAAAAAAAAATATACGCGATTACCACGCGAAAAATAGTTTCGAAATATATTTCCAGTTTAGAAAATTTTGTTTCCCAAATTTATTTTACCGGGAACCGAACCCGGGACTTTCTTATCTAGCGCATATAGTTACGCTAACTTTAGGGTGGCCGAGGTGGTCAAATGGACAGTACTTCAAATTTTATTATTATTTTATAATCCTTACTTTAACAAGGGTACCTGGATATTTTTCAGGTACTGTACATAATCGTCCACGCACGTGGGCTAAGCTCAATAAATTCCTTCCGTACAATTAATTTGCAATTATTAATTTGATACGGCTTTATCAAATTCCTGTTATGAGATAACTTTGTTTCCTCTACCAAGACAAATACAATTATCGATTTAGCAGCGATTATGTTTTGTCTGTTCATGTGTTTTTATAATTAGCCTGATAGTTTGCGATCGACTGTATTTAATGTATTGGAAACAAAGTGTATATACTTTAATATTTACATGTGTTGCTACTCTATGAATAGTTTCATAATTTGTTATTACATCAAATTACATAAAAAGCATTTCTTTTAAGCGATTATCCATCAATTGTTATTCATATTGATCTTAAATATCTATATTTGAATATATTCACAGAGTAAAAACTCTTCTAAAGTTAGCTGTTTATTATGATATAGAACAGGATCTATTAAAAAGTATTGTGTTAATATGGCAGTTTTAAAAAAGATGCGTGGAAATTTTGAAATTATTTACAATTATACTTGGTACTTGGTATAACGGGCTGGTGTCCGCAACTTGACGTCCAAGCCCTATTTTGAGTGTGGATGATAAATGTAATCGAGTTCTTAGGTTTTCGCATCGTTACATATAGGAAATGGAACAATTTTTTTCGAATCTTAATCGTGTGTATTTGTTTTTTCAAACAAACCAACGTTTTGGGCCCTTGGCAAGTCCAATGTCAGCAAATGAGACAGCTGTGACCTGTGAAGCGCCCGAAACGTTGGTTAGTTAGAAAATAATATATATATGCGATATGGAACAGAAAAAATAGTTTCATTACCTATGATTAAAAGTTTTAGGATTTTAATGGCTCTCAAAAAACGTGCTACACTAAATATTTATATTTTTATGGTAACTTTTTTGCAATTGTCTTGCGTGCAAATTGTAAGCAAAAGAAACAAACACTTCAATGGCTTTTGTGCGATTTTCGCAAAAAGTGACGGAAGGGGTTTATAAAAGGATCTGTAAAGAAGACAACTTTCTCCAAGAACAAAAGATGATCTGTGGGTCAGTGTCCCAGAAGCAAACATTGAGGTAAAATATTTGCAAGAACCAAGGACCAAAATTTTTAACACATTTTTCATAAAACTATCTTAAAATTTCATCTCGATTGTTATTTTGGACGTTTTTAATTACTTATTAACATAATATAATTATTTTACATTGTTCATGTTAATATCCTACTGCGTAAATCTTTATAGAATTTAATCGTCATTTCAGTTCATATAAATTTTGCTCTATCAGACACGTGGGAGAAATTTTAATCTTTATTCTCATCATATTTTACACTACAAACTGGAAATTTCGCTCTACTCGTACATGAGTTTCACTAAACACAATCCTTTCTCAATAACAGGTATTCCTCAAAAACTTGTTGAATAGATTTTAAGTTTCTAGCCCCCGACTTTCACCACCTTTTTATTATTCGCAAAAACATTAAACAAAGGTCCACGGCAATTTGGGTTGCGCAAATTCTCTTTTTTGTTCATAATAGCGTTCCTTTGTGCCTGCAACATGTTTACAAATAAGGTATAAGTCATAGGGTTTTAAATCAAGTGTCGAAAGCTTACGCTCGCTTAGAACGATGTCCATTGTTTTGTTCAAGCGATCGCCAATTGCTTTATTACCCTTTGCGGCCTTTATATTTTGCCTCGAAAGCCGATATCGCCGAAACATAGTCAAAACATCATATTGTTGTCATAGTATTTTATAAGGGAAGTTTTGGTTTGCGTTTAAGAAACCTCATGTGATTAAATGTTGTGCTATAAGTTTACATTAATTTTTTCGCAATTCAACTAAATGTTGAAGAAATTTAGACTTTTTTATGATATCAAATGACGGGATGAACAAGTCGCGCGGCTGGTGGTAAGCGGCACGTCTATCCATAGCAGTTGCACTTAACTTTAAATCGTATTTAAATCTGAGCGACATTGCCACTGCGCCTGTGGTCCTGAGACATAAGTTGAAAATTCCACGTGCCTGTATTTTCACCAGCACCCGAAACGCTGTAGTTGTCACGTTGCCGCTTGGCGGTAGAAATAGGTAATGTTGGAGTACTTCCCTGGATGCACTCTTTCACTAGGAACTCTACAGCTACTAAATACCTTAATTGTAGTTAGTAGAACACTTGCATACCACGATTATGATCGGAGCCAGCATTGCTGAATTTATTTGAATGATATATTTCAATTTATTTAGTATTATTGTGACACGTGTTGGTCGGACGTTCATAAAATTTTTTGTCTATGCTTGTTATCTCCAACCCGCATTTGTCCAGCGTGGTGGACTAAAGTCTAAAGTCTCTCTCTTAGAGGAACCACGTGCTATAGTGGAGCATAAGTTTGATGATTATAAATACTTCAAATATTGAGGTATAAGTCAGTGTTTATATTACACATTCTCATACCTATTGTAAACGAAAAAAAAATGAGAAAGAGTATCTACTATTCAACCGCTCAAGTACCTAATGGCAGTAAACACTATAATAAAACTCTATTCGACAATAATATTTACAGTAAATATACCCTGCGCACGAGCAGCCGATGCAGTTTGAAGTGGTTTAAAAAGTTGTCAAGCTCACAGAATTATTTACACGATACTTTAATGCAAACATTGGACAGAATATTGCCTCGTTACAACCTTTATCGTCAATATATTACCCAAACAGTGATCTCACGCCAAACAAAACATATTATAACACTTTCGGACTTATAAAACGCATTTTATGGCGCTATAACAATTTATACCTAATCACTGTCAATCGTAACTCTATCGGTATAAACTGATTGACGCTAGTGTAAAAAAAGTTTGTCCGCGAACAATAAATGTTGAGAATTGACCATAAAGTGGCGACCTTGTGTAATAAAAATTTAACGAGCTCTGCTTTACCTACACACAGAGTGAGACTGTCTAAACGTGACTGTCATAGAAACAGCTGGCTCACCATCTGTGCATTGCCGGCTTTTTAAAGCATTAAAAAGTAAATATTTATAGAAGTTTAGTATTTATAGGAGATATGCTCGACGGGATTCTCTAGTTCAACAATCAGTCTAGTGT